GACAACATTATACTGCATAAGCAAACGTGTATGAGACAAAACCAAACCAAGAGCAAAAGAATAAATAAGCAAACAAACAACAAACAAACAACAAAGTGGGATGCTAAACCCAAAGTCGAGGAGGGCGGTTACCACCTTGGGGAGGGGCAAGGGGATGGGCTGGGGTGGAGCACACACGGGGAGGAAGTTATAGAGAGGATGGGGTGGTGAATTAGGGGGAGTCACAAGGTAAAAAGGAAAGAAAGCTGGGGGGTGGGGGGGCATGGGCAGGAAGGCCTGGAGAGTGAGCCTTGGGCGAGGTGGGTGCTGGCAGGGAAGTAGGCTGGCTCCTTCTCACCTTGCTGTCGGAGTCCACACGCTCATCCACAGAATAGGAGTCGTAGTAGAGGCTGAAGTCGTCCCCGACCACTGTCTCCCACTCCTCCAGGGACCCTGGATCCCCTTTCTCCACGGTCACTTCTCCCGAACCCCGCGTAGAACCCAACTCCTCCGACTAGGAAGAAAAGATCAGAAAAATGGAAGCTGCTGGTACTCCCGCCTCCCATTTCCCCTGGGGACCGGATGCAGCCCACCCCCCACCCCCCCGCCCCCCAGGTAGAGAGGCCTTGTTTTCTGCCTCTCCAGGCTCACCAGGCCACCTCCCGCGTTCAGCTTCCTCCTTTTGGCCACCTCTGGAAGGAGAGAGAGAAAAAGGAGCAAGGCCTGTCCTTAAACCCTCCGGACAGGTCTTATCAAGTGGCCAGCGGGTGGGGGCGGGACTGACCTGAGGTCATCTTCCCCATCGAGTGCACGTCATCACTCATGCGGAAATGCTGCACTTCAGGGGGCCGCTTCTCAGGGACTGGGGGCTAGGGGCCAAGAGGGAGCACACTTAGGGTCAGGGAACATCTGTAGTTCTGCCTGGATTAGCCTGGAGCCCTGGATGAGGGTGGGGTGGGCGAGCCACACCCTCAAAAATGCCATCTGAAGCTCCAATAAACTAGAATGTGGCAATGACTGAGAACTCCTGTCTCCCGAGAGAAAGTGTGTTAAGCACATCCCACACCTAACACTTACCTCTTCAAGCACTCAGAAGCAGGCCCTCTTTACCCATTTCACAGATGAGAAAACAAAGGTTCATGCCTTGCCCAAAGCTGCCTAAACCATATCCAGAACAAAATGATACCAGGAGCCCCAAAAACATTGTCATAAAGCTTCTGAAATTCTGGGGTTTTCTTTCCCTCACCTCCTTCCCTGTAGGGATTCACAGTAAAAACCCTTAGAAACCCTTTGAAAAAGGAAGTAGGGGCAGTTTCAAAGGGAGGAAAAAGCTCCCTTGGGGCCTACTTTGAGGTAGAGAGTTTGAAGTTCCTTAGACAGTCATTATCATAAGAATAATTACGACGTTAACTACATCATTAACTCTGGAACCTTTGTTTTTTCTAGTCCCCTCTCCCCAAGAATGTAAACTCCAGGAAGACAGGAACTTGTCTGTTTGTTCACAGATTAAGCCCAGCCCAGAATTTAACACAGAGTGGCCCCTAGGTAACTACGTGGAGCCATGAATAGATGAGAAAAAGTCTGAAGCTAAACTGTAAAAAAAGTCCACAAGGGGTTCACAGTGGATTACTCTGGTCTCCCCACCCCCATGCCTCCCTCCCCCCCAATTCTCACCTGCCCATTTCCCGGTTTGGACATGGTTTTTCTGGCTCGGTGGACCTTGGGCTGCCCCTCTGGGCTGGGTGTGGCTACAGGGGGTTCAGGCCCCGCTGTGGCCGCCCCTTGGGCCCCCGGCATACTCAGCAGCCGCATAGCCAAACTCTGGACTGATGGGGGTGATTTTCCAGCCCCTGTCATTGACATCTTGGCCCGGCTGGGACAGGCACCCCCCTTGCTGGGGGAAGAGGGGAATGACTTTGTGGCATGGCCTGGAAGACAGACAGGCAGGCAGGCAGAGGCAAGATAAGAGGGAAAGTGGTCAGAGGATATCCCACCTCACCCCTCCAGGCTCCCCAGCCTCTCACCCAGCAGGATGCGGCCCCCATGGAGGTCCCCATCTCCCTCGAGATTCTCAGGTTCATCCCCAATGAGTGGTGTGGCTCCCACAGGGGTGTCAGCCCCCTCATCGCCCACGGTGACTGTGACAGAGGCAGGGGATGAGGGGCCTGCAGGCTCCAGGGAGTCAGGGCTGGCCTTGGGCAGGGTCTCTTCACTACGAGGGGTGTCCCCCAAAGAGCCATGAACTGTAAGGGAAAAGAAAAAGTTCAGGGCTAAGGTCTCAGGGAATCCTGTGTTGGGGGAGGTGAAAGTCCAACTGGGCCCGTTTCTACTGCACTCACCTCTCTCAGTGACTCCTCTAGGCTCCTTCTCCAGCACCAGCGCCCCCATCTCAGCAGGGGCCTCCCCCTGGCAGGGGACACAAGGTATAGGAGGGCTGGTCAGTCCAGTAGGAAGTTGGGGAGCCCAGGACGCCTGGGCTCTGGGAAGAGAGAGTAGGCTCCGGGGCCTACCTCTTCCTCTATGGGGGCCCCCCCTTCCGCGGCCTCGGCTGCCCGGGGGGGCCGCACGACCCCTCCCCCGGGGCCGCATTAGCCCCCTCCCTCTCGGCAGACCCCGCATCTCAGGGGCCGAGAAGAGAGGAGGGGGAGGGGGCGGGGCCTCTGCGCCCCGGCCCCGCCCCCTCCTCCCGGCTGCACGCGCCGCTCCCCCTTTGTCCCCCAGGCCGCGGGGACCCCGGGCACCAACCCCTCCAGCGCCCGCTGCCCCCCAGCCCGGTGGACGGCCCCTCGTGCCCCTCGCGCGTGCTCCTGGGGCCCCGGCGCCCGCCGCCCACTCGGGGGCAGCCGGCGGCTGCACGCGCGCCTCCGTGCCCACTCCCCCCACCTCCCACCCCCTGGTCCCCTCATCCGCCCCCGGTGCTGGCCCTCCGGATTGCTGCAGGTCCCGTCCGGGCCCCCCGGCCCCGTTGCACCCCCGGAGCATTGCACGGGCGCGCGCTTCCCCCGGGCGCGCGCGCGGGCATGCACCCGCCTCTCCCCCTCCCCTTCCGCACCTCGGCGGCCGCCGCCGCTGCAGCTCCCGCCGCCGCCGCCATCGCCGCTTGCGCGGGGGGCCGAGCCGGCGCGCGGCCGCCCCGGGTCACGTGGGCGGGGGAGGGAGGGCTAGGAGGAGCCTTAAAGGAGCCACTACGCGCTTTCTGGCCATTTTCCCCCGAGAGCCGCTTCGGAAATGGCAGTGGCTGTCCTAAGCTGGGGGCTGCAGGGGAGAATTCCTGCCAATCCCGGCGTCAGCTCAGCGGGTAGCCGAAGGTGAGGCACGCCTGGGTCCAGGTGTGGCTTCTCCATCCCCCGCCTGTTTTTAGGTAACGAAAGAAGTGTCTGACCCTCACGGCTCTCGGCAGCGGCTGTCTTTCCATTCTGGCCCGCCTATGCTTCTCCCGCCTCTGGGTGCTTTCTGGTTTCTGGGTCGCCAGATGGAAGATCCGGGCTCAGTTTTGGCCTCGCTTCTCTAACGAGCAGGAAGGGGGCAGTGGGGACGCGCGGAGGACACCTTTGCTCGACTGCTTTTACCTTGCTGCTTCATGTCTCCTGGAGCAGCGTCCCCTTTTGAAAACCTGGGGCTAAATGTCTCTTTTGTTTATGCCAGACCTGTTACGCCACCATATGCACTAGGGATCCAAGTAAGCCCCCAGAGGCCCAAGAGTTACTACTGCCTGGTGACACTACTAAGTAACCTTTTTTTTTTTTTTTTTTTGCCAAACACCTCACAAGCATAGGCACTACGCGGGTCATAAGCCCAGTTAACAGTGGAATTATGAATATTACAACAAGATATACAACCTTGATAGCATTATTTAGGGTACCATCCTTTTACGGATTACATTCTGGTCAAAGTTCAGAAAAAACCCTGTTATGATTTCACACCCAGTATTTGATAGAAACCCGTGGTTGGGCTGTGGGGCACCTGAGGCCAATTCAAGGCCTTCTGGGAACTGTAGTTCTCTTTGGTTAAGAACTATTCCAGAGCTTTGTGGGACTTGTAGTCTTCTCCATACCCTAATCCAAGCATAGTGTTTTTTTAGCTTTTCAGAGGACATGAACCTTTTCGTCAGAACATAAATGCCCAAACATAGGCTCCTGCTTACAATTTTGGTGGGCATAACGATCACCTTTATAGCTCATCCCTAAGGTTGATACCAAATTCTTGTAATAGAAGGGGAAGTTGTGTGTTACCACCATGGCCAATCATGGAACATAAGCGTGAGATACCTGCCAGATGCTGAGGTTGCAGAACTGGGAGGGTCCCCAGCCAGAGAAGCCCACTTGTCACGATCCCCTGCTCTCGTCAAGTCTCCTTCAGGCATGGGACCTGCATGAGCTTTGCCGAGGATTGAGCAAATGCAATAAGGAGGGAGACGCTGTCTAGGGTGGGATAGTCATATACACGCAGTTGCCAGACAGAGTATAAAAAAAAAGGGTTTGGCTTTTTTTTTTTTAATTTATTTATTTTGTGGAAAACAAAAGCAGAAAAACTAAAACCCCAAACTCCAGAAAAAATCCTAAAAAATATGTTTTTTCTTAAAAAATACTGTATAAGTCTCTACTCCTCTCCCTCCCCCCCAACAGCCCTCCTTGTACCCTTTCATCTAAGTGCCCTACCCCCACCCCCGCCACTATTCATCCTTCTTGCTATTGTCCCCCACTTTTCCATATCTACCCAGGATGCTCACTCACGCCCAAGTTCTCTTACCTGGCACCTGACATGGTTCTCCCTAGAGTTCCGGTGAGCCTTTACCCACAGTCCCATTCCCCCAGCATGCAAGAACGGTCTCCCCACTTCCTTTTCTGGGATTCAATAATCCTTTCCCCCTACCACTCCCTCTCCCAAGGATCTATTCTATGCAGGAGCATGTAAGCTGCCTCCTGCCAAATTCCCTCCCAATTCCCACCCACCCACCCCCCATCTCAAGAAATATCAGAACCTCTCCCTGGGCAGCCTTAACCAGGAATAAAGTATTTTCCTCTTTTTTTCTTCTCAATCTATAAGACCCTTTCCCTCCCTCCACATATCCATGCACCTCTAAGAGAAGAAAATTTTTCTCTGGGAGCCCATATCCCCTTGGCCTTCTCAAAGAACCCTCTCCCTCTCTCTCTTTTTTTTTCTTCTGAAAAGACAGGGGTCTTCTCTCCAGGGAATCTTCAGCCCCTCCCTCAGGATGTGTCTGCTCAGGTTCCCCCAACCGTACCTGCCTGTTCCCGACCCTCCCACCCCCCTGTTCTCCTGGGCCAGGGAGCTCCCTTCCCACTCAGCCCAGGGACCCCTGCCTCCTGGCTTCTGAGCCCGCCCCGCTAGCGGATGAGGACGTTGATCTCGGCCACGCTGGCTTCCAGCACGTTCTCTGCCGTTGTCTTGCCATGCTGCTCCTTGAGGTGCCGCCTAATGGCGGGCTTGTGAGCGAAGCGCACGTCGCAGTAGGAGCAGCGATAGGGCCTCGCTCCGGAGTGGAGGTTGAGGTGGTCGTGCAGCGTGGACTTCTGCGTGAAGCACTTGCCGCAGATGCCACAGGAGTGCGACTTGACGCCGCGGTGCACGTTCATGTGGCGGTTGAGGTTGCTGCTGTGGTTGAACTGCTTGCCGCAGCGTGGGCACATGAAGATGAAGTGCTGCGCCCGCATGTGGAAGACCAGCTTCTCCACGCCCTGGAACACTTCCGGGCACTTGGTGCACTTGATGTTCTTTAGGGGGTTTCCACTGGAAAAGCCCCCAGGCAGGGGTCCCCGGCTGCCCCCTGCCCCCAGGCTGCCCCCCGCCCCCCGGGCAGCCATGGCCACCGCTGCTGCCTCCACCAGGCCCGAGGTGGCCCCCACGCTGGCCCGGCCTCCAGGGATCAACAGCAAGCCCTCCCCTTCTGCATCCTCGGACAGGCTATAGCAGGCTTTCACTACACCCTGCGGTGGGGCCACAGTGCTGGGGGGCACGCTGCTCTGAGCCAGCTCTCCCAGGTGGCTGCCCACGGAACCTCCGATGCTCAGACCCCCTCCCAAACCTCCGGGAGGTTTGAGCCGGTGTGCCACCTCCAGGGCCGACTCCACCTTGACGATGCAGATGTCGGACACGTCCTCGTCCTCGTCCTCGTCTTCTTCCTCGGCCTTCAGCTCCAGGTCCTCGTCCAGGGGAAACTCCAGTTTCACAGGCCGTAGGAGTGGAGGGGGCAGAGGGGGTGGGGGTGGGGGTTTGGGGGCTGGCTTTGGGGTCCTGGCAGGAGGGAGGAGGGATTTGGTGGCACTGACACTGCTCACAAGGCTGGCATCGCTGACCCCATCCTCTTTGAGGCCTATTTTGGGCTCAATGAACTGGCTGAGGGCGTTCCTGCATTTCTCCACCACGTGCTCCATCTGCAGGTAGGAGGCAGCCGTCAGGTAGTTGACGATGTCCCTGACAGCGAATTCCAGAGCGCCCGTGTAGCAGGAGAGGAGCAGGTCGGCCACGATGCGCGCACTGTGCATCAGGGAGACCTGCAGCTCAGAACTGGGGTTCAGCAGGAACTGGTCCCTCAGGAAAGGCGAGCAGGCGGCCAGGATGACCTTGTGGCCACGGAACTTGAGGCTGTCGGCCACAATGGTCACGTCGCAAAACCGCTCCTCTGCGCGGAGCTGGTTCATGTTCCGCAGAGTAGCGGCCTCGTGGCCGGGCAGCTGGAAGCGCAGGACTTCCACCCCAGAGGCCATTGTGGCGGGGGTGGGCAACCCTGGTTGGGAAGGAAACCGGTCAGAGACAAAGGTCTCTGGCTCTCCTAAGCCAAGGCTCCAGGCCCCTCGCCCCCATTCTTGCCCAGCTTCCCAGCTTCAGCTCTCCCAGTCTTCAGGCCTCTTCCTCAGTTTCCCCAGTCCCTGGGGAAGCGCTGTCCCTCCGAGAGGACGGAGGCGTGGTTCCCGGGGGCGGGGCAGCGGCGTCCACACCCCCCAGCCCGACCGCCCGCGAGGACCGGGCGAGTCCGCGCGCCCACGGGGAAGGTAGGAGAAACCGGGAGCAGAGGCCTGGGGCTCTGGGCTCCCGGGTAGCCCGGGTTGCAGCCTCTTCTCACCCCGCCCCCTTTCCCCGCTGCTTCATTCCTCCGCCCCCCCTTTGCACGTTTGCACGCGCTTTTCACGTCCTCCCCCCGCCGCCTGCACGCTTCGTGCACGCCCCCCCCACGTTCAGAGCTCCGTGGCACGCCCCCCCAGCCCCACGACCCTGAGTGCACGCGCCTCTCACCTGGCCCGGTTCCGCGCGCTGTTTTTTCCCCCCCTATTTCCCCCACCCCCCCCGGGGTCGGCGGCGCCCCCAAACACGGGCAGGGTCTGGGCAGCGCGCAGGCGCGGGGGTGCACGAGGCGCGCGCGCGGGGCCAGCTCCGCGTGGGCGTAAGGAGGGAGGGGCGGGGGCGGCTCGTGCAGTGTGTTCCAGGCCCCGCGCGCCTCGGCGTCGGCGAGAACTCGGGGAGGAGGAAGAGGGGAGGGAATTAAAGGAGCAGGATTCCCCCTTTCCCGATCCCCCTTTCTGCAGCAGCCCCCCCCACACGGTTAAAGGGCCGGATGGCCTGGCCTCCCCTTTGGCCGGTATTATTTGTCCGCCAGAGCGGAAATACGTTCCACACCCCCCCTTTCTCGCTCCCCCTCCTCTGTGCCTCCGGGCCCCGCGGCCCGTCTGCGCGTGCGTGCCAAGTGCCGCGCGGAGGCCCGCTTGCTCGGGCCCGCCCCCCATTCCCGGCGGCCCGCGGCGCCCTTCGCTCCGCGCCCCCCAGCGCACGCACCCGCCTGCGCTCCCCGCCTGCCCCGCTCCCGCCGACGGTGCTGCCACCTGCTCGCAGGGGTGGTGCCGCTGTGGCCCAGCTGTGCTGTGCGGGACAGGGCTGCAACCGCAGCCCCTCCCAGGGACCCAGACCGCCCCACGGCTATCGGAGCTGTTGGTCGCTGTTGCCCACGCGGTGCATCCTCTGTTGCGTATGCTCCCAGTCCCTCTGGCCACGCTTCAAGACTCTTTCAAAAACTCTTCCGAAGCTAGTCACCACCCCAGCCCTCCTGGCCTAAACGAAGTTTTAACTTCCTACAGAAACAATCCAGTGCCCTCCACTTTCCTCTGTCTCACGATAGTGTAACATCACACCCATCCGACCTTCTCCTCCATTCTTAGAATTGATCCTACTTCGTGGCAAGGCAAACGTCCTCCGCTTGTGTGTACTGTGATGACCTTGCCCATTTCACCCCTACTGTATAATTAGCCCTAGTACTAATTCTTCTAATTGTGCGATTATTTGTATCAGTACGATTTTACCATCTTTACTCTTTCCTACTGCCGCTGCCCTTCCGATGGCGGGGCTGGCAAGGTCAGAGCTACATCGCCCGAAACAAAACCTCTCCTCAACTCTGCACCTCTGCCTTCTCTTTCTCTGTCACTCCCAACTAACCTGCGGTCTCCACAGCTTCGCCAACAGCATTTATTAACACCTTGGAGATTGCCCTGCCCCGTTTTCCTGCACACTCACTTCCCTACCCATCCAAGTCCAGGTGAAAAAGCCCCTGCTTCCCATTGGTTGGATTGGTTGGTTACATACTCCAGGAGATTAGAGCATTTCTCTTACACATCAATTTTGAGGAAACTTCTTGTTAAATAATGGGTTCAATATCTGGTTTCCCCCATTAGATTGTAAACTTCTTGATTGCAGGAATTATGTCATGGGTTATATTTTGCAAATAAAAGGCATGCAATAAATGACTGACTGCTGAAGTCATTCCTTTTCAGCTCAGCCAGCATCCACCCAGAAAAAGTTTGTTTCTGACTTAAATTGAATTCCTGAACTCAAAGGGATGACCTTTGGTGGGAAAGTGGGGGCAGTATTTAGTGGTACTTGACTCTTGCCTTTCCCTTTTAAATTCTTTCCCTTTTATGCCTCCACCCAGTTCTCTTTATTCTAAAATGCCCTCTGTAGAAATCTCCTTTGTAGTCAGGCCATATAAATCTGAGAAAGAACTTCGGCTTTTGTGTCAGACACACCTAGGCTCAAAGCCATATTCCATTACCTTTTTTTTTTTTAAAGATTTATTTATTTATTGTAGAGGAGGGAGGGGCAGAGAGAGGGGGTGGAGAGAGAGAATCTCAAGCAGATTCCCTGCTGAGCATGAAGCCCTACCCCGGGCTCGATCCCAGGACCCTGAGATCATGACCTGAACTGAAATCAAGAGTTGGCCATTCAACCAACTGAGCCACCCAGGTGCCCCCATATTCCATTACTTTTTAAAAGAGGACCCTTGGCCAAGTTACTTAATTTTCTGAATCACAGCATCTTTGTCTTTGAATTGGAGACCCTGATTTTTCACAGGGCTAATGTGAGGTGTAAGGGAGCCTGGCAAACAGTAGGTGCTAGAAGAGATAGCTCTCTTCCCCTTTGCCTAATTGGGAGACAGACTACAAAATCTTCAAAAGAACTTTAGCTGGATATTCTGTTTCCCTGTCTCATCTCTTCTCTCCCTCATTGCCAAACTTCTCAAAAGAACAGTTCACACTCCAGTGAAATCAGAAGTACAAAGGCTGTCAAAGTTAAAACTGAAGTTTGTAAAATTTTGTATCCTGTCACCTTCTTGCTACGTCTTCTTTCTAGGGGAGTGTGAATGGGACGAGGGGCCTCATCTCAGCTTGGAATTTAAGACAGGTTCTTGGTGGCAGGTACAGCTGAGAGCTGATGAGTCCTTCAAGTGCCAGGCCCCTCCAGTTACAGTTTTATATGGAAACAAACCGTAGTGCACAAGGCTGTCTTCTCCTGTGCAGCCTGGTGGGGAGATGCTGTAGGGGCTCTTTTCCCACATAGCCCATGTAGGGGTATCTAGATCCTTGTCCCTTGGTCACAGACTTCTGCTAGTGTGGGATGAGGGGCCCTCCTGTCCCTGGCTTGCAGTACTAAACTCCCTGGCATAGTGTCAAGGATGGGTAAATTCAGGATTCTTAGTGGGCTTGAGAAATAAAGTCTGACTAGGGAGCAAGAAACAAGTAGGAGACAGAAGGTCTAGGCTCTAGTTCAGGTTGGAGGCCAGCAAGGTCCCAGAAGTTTCAGTATTCTTCTTCTCCCTCTCTCTCTGCCCCCTGCTCATGCCCGCCCCCCCATTAAATGAATAAAATCTTAAAAAAAAAAGGAGGGGTTGTCCTATGAAGTCTCTTTCAGCGCTCAATCTGAAGAGAGGTGTGTGTATTTTTGTGTCTATGTGTGGGAGAAGTGGTGGAGGACTAGCTAGCTCATGGCTTAGAGAACCACTCCTGGTTACTGATGGAGGCCAGCAGTGGTCTAGATAATCCCAAACAGGAAGGGTTACACATTTCTCTGGGGCGTTCAAGGTAGTTCTGGCAGTGGGTGTACTTTTGCCATATGCTTAGCCTAGACTGGAATTAGTATATTCCTTGAGCTACCAATAGGAAATATTGGACTTAAATCCATAGGCTGATAAAACTTTTCCTGTATTACAATAAAACCTCCAACATCTCTTCCTCTCTTTGACCCACACTCAGCTCTACCCTCACTGTAAGAACCCTGAGTCCTGCTCTGCTGCTCCCTCGGTCTTCTTGTTGCCTGAGCAACTGACTTCCAGGCCTGTGGCACCTGGCTCAGGTCATCCTCTCAGACCTGCCAGTGTCCATGCAGATGACCTAATCCACACCCCAATTAAAAAATAAATTGTCCGGTTTATTTTATGTTTTCTTAGAGTCATTTGCATGGTTCAACATTCAAAAAGTATATTTTATTTTATTTTATTTTTTTAAAAGATTTTATTTATTTGAGAGAGAATGAGAGAGAGAGAGCACATGACAGGGGGAGGGTTAGAGGGAGAAGCAGACTCCCCACTGAGCAGGCACCCGATGTGGGACTTGATCCTGAGACTCCAGGATCATGAGGAGAGCCAAAGGCAACCACTGAACCAGCTGAGCCACCCAGGCACCCTCAAAAAGCATATTTTATTGAACAGAAACAGAATCAATACCAGATGGGGATTACTTGCTTGATTATCAAGAGAATATGTTTGATATTCATTTGGGAGAACATTTTTTCTTTTTTTTTTGTCTTTAAATTTTTTATTGTTATGTTAATCACCATACATTACATCATTAGTTTTTGATGTAGTGTTCCATGATTCATTGTTTGTGCATAACACCCAGTGCTCCATGGAGAACGTGCCCTCTTTAATAGCCATCACCAGGCTAACCCACCCCCGCACCCCCTCCCCTCTAGAACCCTCAGTTTGTTTTTCAGAGTCCATCGTCTCTCATGGTTCGTCTCCCCCTCCGACTTACTCCCCTTCATTCTTCCCCTCCTACTATCTTCTTCTTTTTTTTTCTTAACATATATTGCATTATTTGTTTCAGAGGTACAGATATGTGATTCAACAGTCTTGCACAATTCACAGCGCTCACCATAGCACATACCCTCCCCAGTGTCTATCACCCAGCCACCCCATCCCTCCCACCTCACCCCCACTCCAGCAACCCTCAGTTTGTTTCCTAAGATTAAGAATTCCTCATATCAGTGAGCTCATATGATACATGTCTTTCTCTGATTGACTTATTTCACTCAGCATAACACCCCCCAGTTCCATCCACGTCGTTGCAAATGGCAAAATCTCATTACTTTTGATGGCTGCATAATATTCCATTGTGTATATATACCACCTCTTCTTTATCCATTCATCTGTCGATGGACATCTTGGCTCTTTCCACAGT